TATACAATGGATATGACATTTGAGATGCATTCATTGATATTCATGAAAGTATGCTAATAGACGAGCGTATAAATTAACTATTATTATCATTATACATTGTGATAATAATAAAACATAATTTACAGTAATACTGTTTGATATGTTGTTTTTTTTATCATTTACACGCACCTTTCATTTAAACGCACCTTTCATTTACACTCACTTTGTTGTCATAAATTGTTTCACCCCTTTTATTTTGCATTTTTTGACGATCACCCCTTCTTCCCCCTTCTTATTTTTTTATTTATCATTCTTTACAGAAATAAAAAATGTTTACCGTATGCTCTATGGGAGTATAACGGATTTTATTATAATAATAATCTCGAGGGAGGGGGGGCAGGGGGGTTTGGGTGTCGACATAGCGAGGGGAAACAATATTATTTAATTAAGTGAGAAGAAAAACAAAAAACCGTGTATGTTTTTCTGTTTCATTCTTTCTCACATTATTGCGTGTATTTAATTTCGTATCATTCGTGTTGATATTTTTGAAATAGATAAAGATACCCAAACGATTATTTTGTGTCAATAAAATTTGTCGAAATAATCGAGTTTAAATCATGAATCTAAAATTCTGGCTATATTTTAGATTCTTTTTAATGTTTTCTAAGATGTTAATGAGAAAATGACACGATAAGATACAAAAAATGTAAGAAAGAAATTGTTTCGTTCTCACTTTAGTTTGCAACTATTTCTACTTTTTACACGTTATCGTTAATATATAGTTATAGCTTAATATTAATAATCATATTTAATTATGTATTTTTATGTACGATGATATATTTAATATTATTGATACTAATAGTAATATTAATATTATTACTAATATTATTATTATTATTATTATTACTATTACTATTATTACTATTAGTATTATTATTATTATTATTATTATTATTATTATTATTATTATTATTATTATTATTATTATTATTGCATTGTAATTATATTAATTATTATTTACTTTTTAATCATCGTTTATATTCCTGATATTTTGAGGTAGTCTGGTTTGGGTGTAATTACGTTGTAAAAATGGCAAGAATTCTATATAATTCAATAGTACGCTATTTATATCTATCGTTTCTCGTATTATTATTTTTTTTTCTTTACTATAATTAAACTATGACCAAAAAAGAAACGGAAAAAAATCTGATGAAATTTATGATCGTATATTTTTGTTTGCATGAATTTCTTATATAACTAATTTTTCTTTTTATAATTATGTAGATAATATACTTATATACATGCTTATGTATATAAATATATACAAAGGGTACTTTGGTAATCAGACAATCGACAATATCTATTTTTAAAAGTCGAAAAAAATGGAATGAAATACGTTTGATTATAATAAGAATAATTAAAAGATGTTTCATTAATTTATGCGTTGTATTATTTTTAAACAAATTGTTGCAGTTTATTTTTACCAAAAATGTTTATTTTATTATTTTTTTTCAACATTTTTAGTTTACCGATACACGATCTTTATTTATAATAGTAGAGTAGATCGATAATCGGTTTACTTGCAAAATTTATTATGGGCTAAACCATATGCTCTTACAATTAGTCAAAATATTTGATTGTTTAAACTTAAGAATAATAATTTTTTTTTGTTACATTCAAATGTCAAATTAATGATGATTTAAATTTCCATTAAAATATTTCTGATTACCATCAAGCATCCTATTTTATAGATAAAGGGAGAAGCACAAAAAATCTAAATATTTTCTTTATTTACAATTGTATAAAAAAAACTTTAACTGAAAACGCGCGCGTGCGCTCGCGCGTATAAAGAGGAAATAAAACAGTTGAAAAAATATTGTTTTCAAGATCATCTTTATACTAAATTTGAATTCTAATAGTCCAATAGAAAAATTTCAACCTTTTAAAATTATTTTATTCAATTGTAAGGAAAAAAAATATTTAAGTGTCATACTTTTTATGATACTCCCTGTATATATAATAAATAATATATAATATTAATATTTAATAATAATGTTATAACAGTATTAATATTATTAAAAATATTATAATATTAAACAACATTATTAATATTATTAATATTACATATTATTATTATTATTAATTATTATATTAAATGTCGTATAATCATAGTTAATTATTATATTTAGAATTATTATTTTTTCATTATGTTTTATATATTATTTATGTATTAAATGTATGATATATTTATCTCAATCTACAATATATAGATGTTATAAATATACATACATGAAACATACATAATACATACATCCTACTTTTATATTCAATTCTTATTAGAAATATTTTTGCACAAATATAATTTAGGTTAAAATATACAGATATATATTTATATGTGTGTGATATCTTTTACATAGAATTGGAATAGAAACACTTAGAGAATCAAGTTATCAAAAAATAATGATAATAATAACTATTAACACGTTAAATTCCGTATTTATCAGCAATGTCTAACACTCTTATCCTTTTTAAGGTTTTCTTATGCCATTGTGGCATGAACAAAACATTCTTAAAAGAGGTTTAACGGTTAACGTGTTGTTTATTAATTAGTTATTTTTATATCTTATACTTAGAAGATATCAAAATAAAATATTAAAGTGATTATTCGTGATTAATTTTATAAAATCATTTTCTTTAGATGTAAATTGTTTCCTTAGGAATGAAAATTTTCTTCAATTTACGATCAAAAGAACAATGAGAATTCTAATTGCTAATACGAATAATCACAAATTATATGAACTAAATACTTATTAGTAAAATAATCGTAGAAGAACGATTATTATTATTAATATTATTAGTATGATTATTATTATTATTATTATTATTTACAATTACATATAAACTTGATTCTAATATAATAGTGTTTCTTCCAATTGTAATATGAAAACAGCAATATTGTAATCAAATTCTTTTTTCATACTATAGAAAATTCCTTTCTTAAAATTTAATTTATTATACTTATTTAATATTGCTAGAAAATTAATTAAACAAAAATTATAATTTAACTTTACTTTAAAGCAATATTGAAAAATTGATTTTAAGTAGGAACTATTTTATTTTAATGCGTACATATACATAATCTTTTGTTTATGTTTTACTACCGAATTTCAAGATACTCATGATTCGAATGTCGATTGAACTGTCGAATGTGTTAAGTGTTTCGTTAAGTTCGTTAATTGAAAGACATTCGAGATCATTCTTATCTAAAATATTCTTATTTTATTATGGAATATGTAAAATCATGATTCAGTTATATTTTGAAAACAAAATTGTAAGTTTCTATTTCTTATCAGAAACATGATTTCTACTTTGAAAAGTTTATGTTTCTCCAATGTTTTATATTATAAATTTTATTAAAGGAAATTTCGAGAATTTGATTATTTTCGTATTTCCGTAATAAATTTTAAAAAGAAAATTCAAAAATATTTGTGAAAATTATGAAATTAAGTTAATATTATTTTTGTATTGTGATTTTTGACAAAAGTTTTAAAAATTTATGATATTTTGTATCGACCTAATCTATGTTTACATATAATTATATTTACATCGGACGAGTCGCAATATTCTTCGAAAATAAAAAAAGCAAAATATTAACCCTCATGCTAAAAATTTTGATTTATATAATCATTTAAACAAATTAAAAAATTATTTTTCCTCCATATAATAACAAATAATATTCATTCTTTAAGAGAAATTAATTTGAGGGATTAATAATAAAAACAAACGACAAGAATATGACCCTTCTTGAAATAAGTTGCACTAGATTTCCGAATAATAATTAATCTTATCAAATATTTTATTAATTAATTTTTACAAATTATTATTATTTTATACATTTTGTATATATTTTAAAATAAAAATCTAATTAATAAACTCTTTTATTTTTGAATTTACTTAATTCAGTAGTACAACTGATTAAAATAACAAAACCGAATTTTAACAAATATTAACAAATGTTAATAAATTGTGAAAAAGCATCTAACAACAATTAACCCCTTAAGATGCACGCTCGAGTTAACTCGAGCGGCATTGTATCACGACATTGTATTTTGACGTTCAGTCAAAATTGATTTGGCTCAGTTTTTCGGCCAATTTTTTGGCCGATTTTCTAGAAAAATTGTTCCTTAAGGGGTTAAATTACTCAAAAAATGAAAGAAAAAACAAATTTTATAGAATTTGGAATAATTAGAATATTTATTTATATAAGGTTGAACAGCCGAAATTATCTATTAAATTAAAATAATGTTAACTTTTATTTTCCTTTGAAAATTTAATTAAACATTAAATTTTGAAAGACTCTAAGAAAAATTTTGAAAAATTTGAAAGTTAACATTTTTAATGATTTTTCCAAGAAGGGTCTAAAGAATTATTAAATATTTAAATATAAGTAAAATGATTCTGAATATAATTTATCATCATATTTCTTTTTACACAACAAATTTTACACCGTTAAAATAAATTTGTAAATATTTCTGAAACAAAATATAATTTCACAGTTAATGAGTTAATCGTGATGATCGATTAGAAAGCTATTGATGTCTAACTTTACTTTCATGCAGTTCTTTTATATATATATATATACAGAAGGCCCTCGACTTTTGCGATTTCTACTTTCGCACAATTTGCTATTTTGCACATTTCTAAAGATTGAACTGTTTAATCTTCTGCGATCGTATGTCACCTCTCACGGGACATCAGATGACATTGATCCCACTACTTTTGAACATTCAATATTCGCACACACTTTCAAGAACCAATTATGTGCGAAAGTCGAGGGCCTGTTGAATATATACATATATATAATTTATATTTATATATTCTTTTTTATACAAACTTTTCATAAATCTTGTACGTAATTTTTTTTCTTTTTTTTTAAATATAAAAATTTTTTTTTTCTTTTTTGTTTTTAATTTTTTTTTTTTTTTATTCTTTTTTATTTGCTTGTAAATTGATACTTCTTAATTTTCCAAGGTTAAACGTCGCAGTAATTTTTTATCTCCGATTGATAATTATTATAATATTAAAACGAATGAGACTTATTTAAAATCATATTTATCGAAGATACTATTAGGAGAAAGGAACATTTTTATTAGATATGCAAAATCAATTTCTTAAAGAAATAGGATACGAAGACCGCGAATGGAGGCATCTTGCTGAGGGACAAGAACAATGGCGGGATTTTGTATTTGCGGCAATGAACTTTTGAGTTCCTAATACCAATTAATAATAATACTGCAAAGTAAATTAATGACAAATAAATAAAATTGATATTACTCCAAAAATTATAATTCTTTCGACGAATAAGATCGAAAACACGAATCTGAAAAAATGTGTAATAGAATATGGAATGTCGACGTGTCCCTTCGAAGATTAAAAAATATACAAATAAATTTAAGATAAAATAGAAAAATAAAAAAAAATAAAATTAAAAATAATGAAATTGCGACTCGTCCGAATTTTGTCGTTTGTTTTTTAATATTTGTTCAATTAAACAGATAAAATAATAAATTTAATTATCTAAAATAGAAAAGAAAGATCTACGTACAATGAGAAAACGTTGAAGTACCCCAAAGTATCGATCCTTAGTATAATTTCTGTAGTCATGCAGTTGTTTCTTCACGTTGACGATTAGCCAATGATCGTCATCGTTGTTTTAATCGTAATCGAAATCGTATTTTCCATTGTCGTTGCCATTGTCGTTTATGATTGTATATACAACTTAGAATAATGGTTGATCATGTTCTCAGAGAGGACGCATTTTTGGAATGCCTATTTTTGTCATCTCCGTCGCGTTTTCTGTTGTTGTTGTTCTGCTTGTTATGAGATTTTTTCTCATGCGTTTCCATGTGTTTGACCATGTGATCCTTCCTTATGAAACCTTTTTCACAAACGATGCAAATGAAGGGTTTATTCCCAGAATGAAGACAAATATGCCTCCTAAGGTCCGTTTTGTGGTTAAATTGTTTCGGACATATTGTGCACTTGTAAGGTTTCTCACTTCCGTGTTTTGCTTTATGTTTTGTATACTGTGCTTCACTGATGAACCTCTTACCGCAAACAGTACATTTATACGGTCTATCCCCGGCATGGAAACATTTACTATGTTGAGTCAAATAGCATGGTTTGTTAAAAGATTTTGGACAATTTTTACAAAGATATTTTATCTTACCGGACGGGTTAGTTGTCATATTTTGTTCATTTTGTGTCCTATTTTGATTATTTTCCCCACCATTTTCTTTACAATCTTGATTCTGCCTTTCGGACGATTGACAGCGATTTGCATGTCTCTCTTGTCGCTCCTTTATCACATAATATGGTACATTATTGTTTACTTCAATTGGATAATATACTTGATTTTGACCGTCAACTGATATCGGTATTGAAATTTGTTCAGTCGTATATACAGAGTTTTGTTCATTTACATTATAGTTTCCAGCTACCATACCGTTATTGACGTTGTATTCTATTGGCCCCGATGCAACATCCAAATTTGTGAATGCTTCATATAGGGGTGATACGCTATAATTATCGTAGCACGACCCACAATTACTGCCTTGAGGAGAATTTCTCTCCTCCTGACATAGCCCCCCCACGCTAGCGGCCTGCATTGATTCGGGCCCTACCGAGAACCCCGAGATGCCGAATTGATTGAAGCTCGGCAAAGGTTGTTGAGAGTTATTAAAAGTCCCAAAACTGGGTAACATCTCTGAGGGCTGCTGTTGAAGATGGTGCTGCTGGTGGTCCTGGTGTTGCGGCTCCTCCGTAGGACCCGTCATCATTGGATCACCAATAGTAATTGGTGTGATGTTGAAAGTTTGATGCAGGCCCATGTTGATAGAAGCTGTAACGCGGGGGGGCAATCCGTTTGGGTAAATCTGTTGAGGGATCGTATTTACCATTGAAGGGGGCGAAACCATTCCTTGATGAACCTGGCCTGATGTCAGATTATGTTGAGCTGAGTTAAGATTGATGCTTGTGCTTTGTTGCATAGGTGAACTCAGTGGATGGTTAATAAGATGTTGATTCGGTGTTGAACTCACTGGAGGACTTATTGGCGTAACTAAATTCTGATTCATTTGCGACTCCATTGGTGAACCCACTGGCATGTGGATTTGTTGGTGTTGCTGCTGCTGGTGATGTTGTTGTTGCTGTTGTTGTTGTTGTTGTTGTTGTTGCTGTTGCTGTTGTTGTTGTTGTTGTTGTTGTTGTTGTTGTTGCTGTTGCTGTTGTTGTTGTTGCTGTTGTTGTTGTTGTTGTTGTTGNTGTTGCTGTTGTTGTTGTTGCTGTTGTTGTTGTTGTTGTTGTTGTTGTTGTTGTTGTTGTTGTTGCTGTTGTTGTTGTTGCTGTTGTTGTTGTTGATGTTGTTGTTGTTGTTGTTGTTGTTGTTGTTGTTGTTGATGATGATGATGTTGTTGTTGTAGGTGATGTTGCTGCTGTTGTTGATGGAGAACTAGGTTTGGCGGGGATGAACGCATCAGTGAGTGGTGTGCTGCCATGGCTGGGAGGGCTGAAGAACTGTGTGGTAGCATTGTGGAGCCCAAAACAGCCATTGAAGCCAATGGTTGTTGTTGGTGATGTTGACCAGGGTTGACAGTGGAAGGTTTGTTGGTGGTGGTGGAGTTGTTATTGTAAGTGGTGGTTGAGATAGAGGCATGCATCATTCTTGGTGCCTCGTTTGAAGGACCAGCGGAGTTTGGAGGACTACGCGAGTTAGATAACTCTGGAGATACTCGCGTTATTCCAGTACGGCGAATGTTTCTTCGTTCATGTCCGTTATCCCTATTAGGATGGTGATGTGCACTTATCGGTAGGTGAGCCGGATCTGGCCGATTGCTTTGTTTCACGGCATTCTTATGAAGGGTTGTATTGTAATGTCGCTTCAAATGGCCCGAACTGGTGAACCACTTGTTGCACGCGGTGCAGTTGTAAGACTTTGGTCGTCGTGGCTCGTTACTCTTCCACGATTGATTGGCTATCGCCGAAGCTTTCGACGGTTGTGATAACATTGAAGTTGGCATCCCATGCGTGCTAGCGATAACAGCGGTACCGGAATGTAAGGATGATTCCACTGACATATGTTGACCGTGCGCGTACTGTCCTTGATCAGGAATCGGCGGTACATTTTCCATAGGTATCATGGGTGGAAAATTTGTCAAATCAAGTGTGGCGCCTGCTGGCCAACCCATCAAACCTTGAAGAACAGGAGCTTGCTGTTGATGTTGCATTGCCTGTTGTTGCTGTGATTGAATCTGCAACTCTCGTCGCTGTTGTTGTTGCTGTTCCTCTCGCTCGTTATAAATTCTCATTAAATTGGTATTATATCTATGAGTTTGTACCTTGTGAGAATCCAAATCAAGAAGCTCGGCTGGTTCCTCTGGTTCTTGTTTCGGCTCCATGTCTGCATTTTGTTCACCATTATACTCATAACTGTGTTGCTGTTGTTGTTGTTGATGTTGTTGATTCGAGTGACTTGGAGATAAGAGTATCTGCGATTGACTCGGAGAAGTCGATGATGAATGCAACTGCGGTTGATTCGGCTGGGTTGGAGATAGATGTATTTGCGACTGACTTAGATGATTAGGAGATAGATGTAACTGTGGTTGACTTAGATGATTAGGAGATAGATGTAACTGTGGTTGGCTTAGATGATTAGGGGATAGGTGTAATTGGGGTTGATATAGGTGTTGAGGAGTGCCTAATTGCTGATACTGCGATTGATTCAGATAAATGCTAGGTAAAATCGTGCACATTTTTTGGTGCTCATTGCAATAAAACTCATCCTCGAAAGCGGAACCGCATTTGTAGCAACAAAAAGTTTGATTTCGCGACCGTGAACCGGTGATGTCAGTTGGAAACCGTTGTATATTATCATATGGATGATAACGCGAGATTCCGTGACCAGTTATATTTATATTGTTTGTCATATTTGGATTCGGCGAGTAGTTGGAGTATATTGACTCAGTCTTTATGAAGCAATTGTTTTCATCAAAAGGAACATTTGGATAGGGATTATAACTTTGATTCTGTTGTTGGTGCAACTGCTGTTGATGTTGCTGATGGTGTTGTGCCTGTTGTTGGTGAGGTGTTTGTGATTGATGCTGTGATTGTTGATTCTGTGATTGTTGTTGATGCTGCTTTTGCTTTTGTTGCTTCTGTTGTTTATGCTGTTGTTGAAGTTGTTGTTGATGTTGCTGTTGCTGTTGTTGCTGCTGATGTTGTTGTTGTTGTTGTTGTTGTTGTTGTTGCTGTTGTTGCTGTTGCTGTTGTTGTTGTTGTTGTTGTTGTTGTTGTTGTTGNTGTTGCTGTTGTTGTTGTTGTTGTTGTTGTTGTTGTTGTTGTTGTTGTTGCTGTTGCTGTGCCTTTAGTCGCGAAGACGATGGATCTTGTGAAGGCGACATCGTGGATGCCTCGCTAGAGTCTACCGGTGTTATTAGATTTTCACATATAATATTCGTGTGATCGCTATTATTATTTCCTGCCTTACTATTATTATTATTGCTTTCCTCTGGTTGACTGTTCCAAAGGGTAGTATTTTTTTTATGATAATTCAGATGCACACGAAGACTGTTATCGGTGTCAAACATTAAATTGCACTCTTTACAATGGTATTCAGAATGATTGCTAGCACTCTCGTATTTTTGTTGTTGCTGTTGGAGATGTTGGTGCTGTTGGTGATGCTGCTGTTGTTGTTGCTGCTGTTGCTGTTGTTGTTGTTGCTGCTGCTGCTGCTGCTGCTGATCTTGGTCTTGATCTTGTTCTTGCAGCTTCTCAACGTTATTTGTTTCACTCATATTAAGTTTCTATATGTTTACTTTATTTTATACTTCAGCTACATATTCTCTTCTTAAACACCTTAAGATCGAAAATGCAGTAAAAACGAAATAATCCCGTCTGCTCCCGCGCAGGTAAGCGCGCGTGGCCGCGCTTTACCCGTTCGGCGTAACTCTACTTTTTTCTTTCACTTTCACAACTATTAATGTTTTATTTTTGTTGCTCCTTCTAACGCTATCTATCTCTCTCTCTCTCTCTCTCTCTCTCTCTCTCTCTCTTTCTCCTTCCCTATTTATGAGTCTAACAGTTTACTTGGCTCATATTACGACGATAGTTTTTAGAAAAGAAAAGAGAAGCCCCCGTTCTTTTTCTTTCATTCACAACACAACGCGCAATTTGTGACGTATTCGATTGAATACACGCTGAAGTCGTAAGTATTAACAATTATTTTGCAGTCCCTAAAAATCTCAACTCTCGCGAGTTTTAGTCATAAGTAAGAAAAATTAATGATAAAGAAAAAAAGAAAAAAATGTTAAAATAAAACGTGTTCTACATTTATCATAAGATCGCACCTAAACGCATCACAATGAACCATATAATTGTCAAGTTTTTTGGCTGATCGGTAGCCAACCGCATTGTCACTTTTCCCTTCACGAAATGATCAGGGGGTATTCGATGAATCAAAGAAGGGAATAGTGGAACTGTGCGCGGATCGACAGCGCCCGTGCGACGCTGGATGCCTTCGACGTTGTTCCGATTTTTCGCGCGTGTTCTGAAAAAAGAAATTAATCGCGGGATTGAACGGAATGATTGAATGAAAAAGCGCAGTGTTAATGAGAAAGTTAAAAAAAAAAATACCACAAAAATGAAGAGAAGTCCTGAAACCAAAAGCCAAACGAAAAGCTGACTAAATTCGAAAAAAAAGAAAAAGAAGAGGAGAGATCCTGTGGAAAAAAAGCGTTAATTGAAGAAGCAAAAATAAAAGCAAGGTGTCAATCTAAAATTATACAGCCAACATACATAATAACAGCCAACATAATAATATTGTTAAATAAATAATAAATGGAAACAAAGAAAAGGAGGGAAAAGAAATTATTGCGTAAAGCGTTCTCTTTCTTTGTCTTTCAATCTTTCTCACTTGTGTAATCTCTTCTCCTTAATCGCGATGATCCCGCACGTGAATTCTTCAAATAGGTATCGAACGATTGGATCCTTTAGCTGAATCATCGGTCATCACAATGTATTATCCCTTGAAACTGTGATCTTCTCTGTATCGCTACAATCCATTCCTCTTCTTGTAATAAGGAATACCAATCACAACAATTGTCCGAATGTTTTTCATTTTAAAACAATCACGATGCACAAGCAAGATCTTTCAGATAGATCAATAGTCCAAAAAAGTTCTTTTCGTTTTTTCTTCGCAAAACTATCACTGATACAAGAAAAAACAAATAAAGAAGCTCAACCTTTTTTTGAAGCAAAGACACTTGGATTAAGCAGGAGTAAATAAAACTCGGATGATTTTGACAAATTGCAATGAAAAATAATAATTATCGAGTCGATAATAGTCTACTATCGTTTAAAAATACTTAATCCATAGTCGAGAATTAAGCACAAATTGAATGTTCGATTAGATAAACGAATAGTTTAATCGAAGAAACTCGACAAATATTTTTCTCACTCACTATTACACTCGTAATTTTAACTACATTTGTGCATCGTGAATTTTCACAATCAACTATACTCTCGATACATGCGTCTTTCAGTATGTCAACGGATTTGCCGGAGTTTCTGATCCGTTAGCTACGAAAGCCGGTGTTACTCTGGTTAGGATTTCTCGATGGGGCAAGTAAACTATGAGCAAGAAGGCGCTATCCCCACCCTGTTCTCTGGTTTCACTCACCCTCTCCAATCCTCCCCTTCCTTTCCTTCTTTTACCGCCTTCTACTTCTATCCTCTCGCTCACTCTCCCACTCTCTCTCTCTCTCTTTCCCTCTCTCTCGCTCACTCTCTCTCTCACTCTCTCTTACATTCTACATCAGAAAGTGTCGCCCTACCACTACGAGACTCCCACTCTTCCTCGTTAGAATCTATCTCTCTTGGTTCAGTATACCACGGTCGATCTACACCGATTTCTCCTTCCTACGAGAAATACGCGCCAAACAGACTCACGCACACAAATGAAAAGAGGAGATGACTGTGTGTTGTATGAGAGAGAGAGAGAGAGAGAGAATACCAGCGCCTCGAGACAGCCAACCGAATTTGAGACGTGAGCGTACCTTACCCCCACCTAGCTCCTCTCTCTACGTTCCGGACCATCCCTTTCCCTTCTCGCCGAATCACCGATCTTCCCTCTTTCTCTTTCCCCCACCCCTCTATCAATATCTCTCTCTCCCACACTTTAGCTTCGTCGTCATCGTCGTCTCACGAAAGACGATGTTGGATCCTGCAGGACTATACTTTCTCTTTCTCTCTCTCACACACACACTCATTCTCATACTTGGTCGTTTTTCATCCTTTTCTTTCCCTCTCTCAGTGGTCCTGTCTTCTCCCACTTCTATTTCTCCCAAGGAAGAACAATTCTCTCCCTCCAACCCTCTCTCTCTCACTCTCTCTCTCACTCACTCTCTCTCTCTCTCTCTCTCTCTCTCTTTCGGATCTCGTCTTTTCTGTTGCGCACGCGCAAACACACAACAGGCGAATCCTCGCACAGCTGTGTGATATATGCTCTTCCTTTCTCTCTCTCTCTTTCTTTCTCTTTAGGTTTCTCTCGTAGCGCGCCCAATGTCCTTGCTACTCGTGAAACTTTGTTGGGTGAGATTTTTCTAAAACTCCCACGGTCGAAGCTTGAGTTTCTCGATCGAAAAGTGTTACCGATGTTACCGAACGAATCAACCTGCCTTCGAAATGCCCTTCAACCTACCCCACTAATTCCAACCCCTACGGATCTTCCATCCATTCTTACGATTTAATCTCGTTCGCGACTTTGACCTTGGAGCTTGTTAATTCTAAATGGAACAATTTCTAACAAATTCTTGTTAAAATACTTTTAAATGCACGACTCAGTCTTTCCGTACTATTTCTTTTTCGCGATAAAAGTGTAGAAAAATGTGAAAAAATCTCTTTTCTACGTTTTGTTATTTAAACTGTTCCGTTGGATCAGCAGGGGACGTCTTCTAGAAATCTTGGTTTTTCAAATAGAAATTTTATTTCAAGGACATATGAAAAAAAATAAAAGAAAAAATACAAGGAAAAGTGTAATTTTTGTAAATTTGGGGTTAATTAAAAAGAACAATAACACCAAAATTCGTCCACGTTTGAACGAAATACAACCGAGCTGAACGTGGTACTTGATGATTCGTAGAATTATGAAGAAAAAAATGTACATGTGGTATTATCGGACGATAAGGAACTTATATTTATTTTTTATTTCTTTTCCTTCTTTCTCTCTTTTCTATCTCTTATCTCCTCTCTTCCCTGCCCCGCCTTCCTTGTTTCCCGTTCGTTTCTCTTCACGAACCTAACACCCTTCTCCTTCTCCTTCTCCTCCACCTCCGCCTCTTTCTGCATCCCCCGCTTCGTTCGACTCTTTCTGTTCATCTCGTTTCGGCATCACCCCGAAACTTAGAGACCAGGACGAAGCCGCCGCTCTATGGGTGAATAAAAAAGGAAATGTGGGTAACCTTGCATTTTTTTTACTATATCCTTTTTTTTCCTACCGGGGAAGCAACTCCTCGACTCGTGCACTTTGCATACTCAATGCGACACTCCTTTCCTCTCTCTCTCTCTCTCTCTCTCTTTCTCTTTTTCTTTCTTTGTCTCTCTCTCTTTCTTTTATTCTCCTTTTTTTTATCTTTTTCCTTTACAGAAAATCCTACAACTATTTTCCTCCCTGTAAAAGTACTTGCTATGAATACATTTATAACGAACCAATGTACGACCACCTGTGGTGAAAAATAAAACATCTCATCATCAACCTGTATATTCTAATTTTACAAAGTTTCCCATAAAGGTCATGATTTTTTGATAAAATATAAAATAATTTAGCAGTGTCTGTGATCTATGACCCATGTGGCTTCATATGCATGTTATAAACGACCAACGTTTCAATCAGGTTTTTCTTTTTATTTATTTCAAACTTATCGTCTAGATATTTACGTATGTGGGTTAACAATTTTTACAAACTTATTGTATTAATAAAATCTATGATGTATAAAGTCATTAAAATTGTCTAATAGAAAACACGACTAAAAATTTGAAACATTTTCTGATTCTGTTTGAACTATGGCTACAGATAAGGTTCTGTTTAAAGCATTTGCTCAAACTTATTTGGAAACATTTTTGAAAATAATTGTTATTAAAGGTTTTTAATTTGTATGGTGTATTTGAAATAATGATGCATCGGTTCACGACAAAATTGGAAGTCTCCATTTTGAATGCGCTGTTAGCACTCGTTTTGCTTCGAAGTAAAAAGTCTAAAGGCATGTATGTATTCATGAGATACCAAAGTCACGTGGTAAATTTACATAAAGGACGAATTAGTTTATGGGGATTCCAGCCCTTCTGGCTCGAGCTTCGAAACAATGCACGCTGTTTCGACTTTCGAGATCGAATATTGAGATCGCCTATTGAATCCAAGTTTTTCTTTGATGTACCTTAAATCCTCAAATGTTGCATCCAATTTTTATTTCCTATCAAATATCATATGATTTATATATTTAGTTTTTTTTTTTCTATCAAATATATCATACAAATATTTATTAAATGATTGCACTCATTTTGAAGATTAATTTTTGATTTGGAATGATTATGGGAATCATTTGATTACATTATTGCAGATGTAAAGTTGTTGATATTATGAAAGATATCAACAAAGTTCAATTTTTCGATAATATTTTTTTAAAAAGAAGGGTAAGGTATAAGATTTGAATAATATATATTCGTTTATCGTATACGACAGATTCGAAAAGCCGACAAAAAAGAAAAGTAAACGTTGTCGAGTATTGGTAAACAACCATGGAACATCTACGGTAAGGAAACGAAAACCAAATCTCAAGTATTTCTTATTCCCCAAGAATTGTACTCACTCACGAAAAAAAATCTATAAATAAGATAAGATATCTTTTAAAAAATCATAAATCTTTAAAAAAAAAACTGTAAAAATATTTATAATGCATAAAATATTCAAGGTTACGATTGTGTAATATATTTAATTATTT